TGTGTGTGTGTGTGTGTGTGTGTGTGTGTGTGTGTGTGAGTGTGTGTGTGTGTGTTTACTTTGGCTCTGCCTGTAATACTGTAAGACAGCACCAACCTACACCAGTGGCTGTGCTCCATACTAACACAGCCGTGAGCGTCTGAGGCGCTGGACTGTATCGGATGGCTCCCGTATTATCGATCGGCTCAGTGCCCTTGGTGAATGGCTCCAGCGGCTGGCCGCGCTCATGACCGCAGGCTGTTTGAAACTGACTTAATGCGCCAATAAATCTTCCTTCTAATCAAAGTGGTTTTATCGGTGCACGGGGGAAGCTGATAAGGTGCGCTCTGGACATGCGCTCTAACGACAGGCCATAACGGATGGAATACAGATTCAGTCTTACGCGCGTCACGCAGGTCAAGCACTCGTTTGCTTTACAGATTGGACGTACTAATGAGGATGAAAGCTCATTTACAGGATAATGCTGTTGTTATCCGTAACACAAGACCAAAGAGCCGGGGGGCGACAATCCGCTCGTTCTGACATTTGTGTGCAGTCAAATTGGCCTTGTTCTGCATTTCCTGCCGTCTGTAATCCACAAAGTGACGTGCGTAAGCAGATTAACGAGTTTGTACCTGTTCAAGGCCTGTAAACACTTCTGACGGCATAAAAGCTGCGTAAAGGAGATTCCATTCGCTCGCTGTCACTACTGAGGCACGCTTTTATTTGCGTTGGATCATTTTCTGGAAGCCAGTCGCTGCTCTGAAGTGTTGCTGATGATGTTAGCCTGTCCTGTAGCGCGACTGAAACAGATGGCAGGTCAAATAAAAGCTTCTGGAGAAGATCGAGCTGAAGAAATGATCAGCTGTGACAGAAAACATCTGTCTCTTAACATGGGAAATGGGCAAAAACATAGTTTTACCATGGTAACTGTTCAAAAAACATGGAATTACCATGGGACATGTCCAATAAACATGGTATTAACATGGGAAATGTTCAAAACACTTGGTATTACTATGGTAATTGTTCAAAATTATGATATTGCCATGGGACATGTTGACAAATATGGTAATTCTATGGTTCAAAAAACCATTAAAATACCATGTTTTTTTTTTTCAAGTTTATTTGTACAGCGCTTTTAACGATACAAATCATTGCAAAGCAGCTTTACAGCAAATTAAGTTTCTACAATATTTAGTGGTAGCTTATCAGTGGTGATTTTCAATTAATGTACATATGGCAGAAATGTACGGAAAAATCAATTAAAGACGTAATCAAACAGACGATGAACACTATTAACAGCAATTCAATGTTTTTTTTAACATGTCCCATGGTATTACCATGTTTTTTGAACTTTTACCATAGTAATACCATGATTGTTGAATATTTCTCATGTTTATACAATGTTTTTGGACATGTACCATTAAATTATCATGTTTTTTGGACATATCACATGGTATTGCTATGTTTATCTTATATTTGCCCATTGTAATACCATGTTTTGTTTTTTGTTTTTTTGGTATTTCAGAGCTACATGTGTAAAAACATGTTTTTTCAATGGTACATGCCCAAAACATGGCATGGTAAATGTTAGGGGAAAAAAACATATTACTATGGGACATGTCCACAAACATGGTAATACCGTGGTACATGTCCAAACAATGTGGTATTTTAGGATACATTTCCAAAAAACATAGTAATTCAGTGGTTCATGTCTAAACGTGGTATTAACATGTGTAATGTTCAAAAACACGGTATTACCAAGGTAAATGTTAAAAAAAGAAACATAGGACATGTCCCCAATCATGGTAATACTGTGGTACATGTTCAAAAACATTGTATAAACATGAGAAATATTCAACAACCATGGTATTACCATGGTAAAAGTTAAAAAACATAGTATTACCATGGGACATGTCTAAAAGCATGGTAATACCATGGTACATGTAAAAAAAAACAGGGTATTTTAATGGTCCATGTCCAAAAAACATGGTAAAAAAAAAAAC